GCCCCGGCTGCTTCTCCGCGCACGTGCTGCCCCGTCTTCCCGCATGCCTCGAGGCATGTGGCCTCGTCCACTGCACGTGCCTTCTCCACGCCCGAGCTCTCCGCGTGCGCGCCCTTCAACCCCTCGCTATGCGCGTCCTGTCCGCCACGCATGCCAGCCGTGCACACCACCCGCACATCCGCGTGCAGCCTATCTTCGCCCGTCTCGCGCGCACTACGCTCTAGTGCGCGCACTTCTGCCGTCGCCCGTGCTTGCCTCTTGCGTGGATGGTAAGCTCGACTTGTGGCGTTCTTGAGCTGCCTAGCCACTTCTGCATCACGCGAGCAACACGGATTAGGTCTCCTGAGGTCGGCGCGTAGGAGAGGCGGCGTGCGATGAGGCGGTGCGCATTAAGGTGGCCGAAGACTTGGGCTTAAATTGGAATTGTTTGGAGTGCAAGCCAAGCAAGATCAAGACAATCAAGTTAATTAGGACTCTAGTATATTTAGTTTCCTTCTTGCACAATAATATCTAGATTGTTTAGGAATTTAATATTTTATTGCTTTAATTAAGTTTCCTAGGTAGTTTAGAATTAGTCATAGTTAGGATTTATAAATAGGGAGCATCCCTCATTATTTTTCATGTCTTGGATTTGATGAAATAGAAAAGAACGTTTGTTCGATACCGTGTGTTAGGATTCGTGAGAGTTCGATCATGCAATCGATATGGTGAGGCTAAGACCCGAGCCAGTTCAAAACCGAGGCAGCGAGGCTAATACCTGAGTGAACTCAAGTATCGTGAGAGAGTTAGGCTAATAACCGAGTCGATCACACCTATCGTCGAGAGCAAGGCCGTGGTGAAGCTGTGTTCGAGACAAGTCGAGGGTAACGCAACACACGATCCGTCATCACAGCGCCCCAGCGCGCGCGCCCGCGCCCTAACGCACACGCCCGCGTGATGCGGAAGTGGTTAGGTAGCTCAAGAACGCTGCGAGCTGGGCATATCACGCACGCAAAAGGTTAGCCCGAGAGACGGCGAAAGTGCACGCACTAGAGTGTAGTGCGCGCGGGACAAGCGAAGAAAGACCGCACGAGGATATGCGAGTGATGTATGCGGACGGCGTGCGTGGGCAGAACGTGTGTAGCACGGGGGAGACGGGCACACGCGAGGAAAGGTCGGGCAAACGAGATTCACGCGCAGTAGACGAAGCTTCAGTCCTTGAGGCACATAAGGCGCGCGACCCCAATCCTCGAGGAGTGCGGACTAGCGGGGCGCAACGCGCGAGAGAAAGCGGCTGGCAGCGATGCTGTGCGCAACACTCTGGATGAAGGCGCACGCGCAAGGAGCGAGGCCGCAGTCCTAGAGGAGTGCGTAGAGAAGGACGACCACGCGCATAAGGTCGACGCAGGAGGAAATGGCGTGCACCGCACGCCGGGCGCCACTGCACGCACGCGCTAAGGCGACGAGCCCTAGTGCCGCAAGGACTAGGCGACGCGAGCGGATTGGGCGTAGGATAAGGCGGCCAAGAGAGATAGAAAGAGATCCCTTGGAGTGCAAGCCAAGATATTTAGTTTCCATCTTGCACAATGATATCTAGCTTAATTGGGATACTTAATATTTTATTGCTTTATTAGAGTTATAGTTATATTAGGATTAGATCTAGTTTGTGCCTATATAAAGGCCCTTCCCCTATTTCTTTTCATCATTCAAGAAATCAATAGAAATCCAAAACTTTGTTCTTCCACTTTGCTTTAGTCTTTTCACCAGAATACTATTGCAATTTTATCGTTTCAGTAGGCGCGGTTGTGGCTAGAGAAACACTATCGGCGATTCAAGGTGCGGGTTAGTTGCTTATCGGCAGTCAAAACACAAGATCCTCATCATTGGTGCTTTCATTGAGAGGTGTTGATCGTGTGTTTTTCTTCTACTCCATTCCCTTTCTTTTTCCTTTTATTTTTCGTCCCCCTATTAAAATAATAATAATAATAATAATAATAATAATAATAATAATAATAATAATAATAATAATAATAATAATAATAATATTTCATCATCATATTCATCTTTAACCACGAGTCCACAAAGCAAAGAGCGAAGAGAGGAAAGGAAAGCCATGGCCAACAAAGAGATGAAAGACAAAATTGATAATCTCGATGTCCAGTTCCGTGGCATGAGCGAAGCTATAGATACGTTGGGTGAAGGACTCGATAATACCAAGTCAACGGTGCAAGATCTGATGGAAATCGTGAACCAGCGATTTGACGAGTTGGCGCGCACGGTTCTCGCACGTCTGAAACCGCCGCGGCAACGCGATCATGCGCGACATCACGACCGCGAGCGGCCCGAAGGAGAATATCGGCGGCGCGAGGAGTATGAGCGCCGAGGACGACTTCGATCAGCAGTCCCAGGCATCCACCTATCGCGATCGACGTGCACCCGACAAGCCGCGCATTACGTTGTCCACGTTCACGGGCAGCGATCCAGACGCATGGCTCAACAGGGCGATACAATATTTTGAGCTCAATGAAACCGACAGTCCAGATCGTGTAAGGTATGCAGCTTATTACCTTGATGGCGAAGCCAATGTATGGTGGCAATGGCTTACAAGGATTTATCGTAAGCGACAGTAAATTATCACTTGGGATGTTTTTGAAAGAGAGTTGCTTACACGGTTCGGTACATCTGATTACCACAACTACAAC